GATTCCCAGGCCCCTCCCCAGAGAATTTTAATCATATTTCTCAAGGGGGAGGCCAGGACTTGGCATTTTGACAGCTCCCAGGAGTCTCATGTACGATCAAGTTCAAGAAAGAAAAGAGGTGTCCCCCAGGGGCTGGGGGTGTAAAGGCTGCTTTGCGCTTTGATAGGAAGCCCCCTGACTAACTTATCAATCTCCCTGGGGTTCCAGAAGGTTCTGTGGATCCTGTTCTTGGGGAACTTCACCGAAGAAGTAGAAACACGTCTGGTTTGAGAGAACAACCCTCTGCACTGGGCCACCTTGACCTAGCCCCCCCGGCAAGCTCGCAGACCCGCCCTGACTCGCTGTGCACGCTAGCTTCCCAGCTCCTCCTAGGAGAAAGATGGTGCTCGTCAGCTACGGCCTAGGACTCAGTCCACAGCCAAAGGTAAGTGATCAGTTCAAATGTAAGGAGTTCTGAGGGCAGCCCCACCACAAGGCTGCTCTGTAGTCTGCGTCTGACTAGGGATGGGGGCGCTAGGCCTGGGGGTGGTGCAGGGCTGGGGGCTGCGAAGGGGAGCAGGGTTCAAGCCAGCCTTGCTGGAGATGGCTGCTGTGCCTGCTCATAGCCGTCTGTACCCCCAGCCCATCGCCAGCCCTCTCTGTGCCTGGGGAGGGGCTTGGAACCTCACAGAATATTTCGAGGCTCTGGTGAATGGTCGCGCAGGTCTTAGTTGTCCCCTGTCCACATGGCCATATTCCATGAAGGACATGAAAAGGCTCCAGGTCCTGCTAACCTGTGGCCTCTCTCAGCTCTGCTTCTCTGTGCTTGTCCTCAGCCCACTCCACAGGTTGGGGCTCTGCCCCTCTCCTGAGTAGAGGAGGGCCCAGAGGTGCAGACACTGGCAGTGCTGGACAGCAACCCCCTCGACCTCCTTAGTCAAGGGTAGGTGACAGGGCGGATGGCAGGGCCCTGGCCTTCCCTGAGTGACAGGCACGACCGTTTACACCCTGGTCCCACACCAGGAACTGGAGGCTGGAGATGTGAAAACTCTTGACTTAGGTGACAGTGATGAAGTCAGGACCCAAGGGGGCCTGTGGGGCCCCCAGCCATAGCTCTTTGACCTCGGCATTCAGTGCCTCCCTCACTGCTGGCTCCTGATGGGGTGATCTGGCCCCCCTGCAGCTGACCAGGAACTGGATCTCTGGTCTCTGTTTCCCACTGGCAAGCTTTTGGCAAGTCTTTGGAGATGAGGAGAAGCAGGCAAGCCGCGGCCGGGAGAAACACCTTTACTCTTACTGTGTTTGTACCAAAGCAGAGCAAGAAATTAACCTGTTTTTTTTCAGGCTCTGGGCTGCCACTGGCCTCTGGGCAGCAGAGACCACTGTGGTGTGGGCCACCAGCCAGGGGGAGGGGGTCAGGCTGCCTGCCCACCCTTCTGCAAATGCTCCACCTCTCTGTGCCTAAGCACCCCCGCCGTTAACTGGGGTCACCACTGCACAGCTCCTGAGAGCTTGCAGCCCTCATTGTAAGGGCTCAGTGTTGGCTAGAGGGGCTCTGGGCTCTAAGCAGGGATCCACCCCTCTCCTCCCACGTCCTCTCCGGGAGGAGGAACGAGAAGCAGGGAGCCGCTGGGGATGCCAGAGGGCTGGACTCCTCCCCCTCTCACCTGGCACTGGGCCTCAGTTTCCCCATCTGTAACCTAAACTGATGAGGCCATGCTGGCAGACTATATTCTGGCAGAGTACATGCTGGCAGATTATAAACTGATGAGGAGGGATAATGGTCCTCAAAGATGACCGTGTCCTAATCCGCAGAACCTGTGAACACGTGACCTTACTTGGTAAGGAGATTTTGCTGGTGACATGAGATCGAGTGTCTGGAGATGGGAGATGGTCCTGGGTGGGCCTAGAGGAACCCCAAGTAAGAGGGGGGCAGGAGGGCAAGAGTCAGAGAAGGAGCCGTGATGAGCAGGGCACAGAGGGATGTGTCAAGGGCGCAGCAGCCTCCAGAGCTGGAAGAGGCACAGACACGGATTCTCCCCCGGAAGGAACAGGGCCCCGCACACCTTGATTTTAGCCCAGGGAGACTCAATCTGAACTTCTGCTCTCCCCAAACCAGGAGGGAATAAATTTGTGTCACCAAAGTCACTACATGGGCACAACTCCGTAGCACACAGAAACGAACACAAGTCCCAGGCTAAGAAGAAGCTTCTCCGTGCCCACCTGTCAGGCTCTGGGTTCTCCCAGACCACGCTCTCAACCTGTGTCCTTCACTGTGTGACAGCCAAGGGACCCCAGCCACGTCCCCACCCTGGGCCTGCCACGCGTCACGGCCAGCGTGGCTTCCCCTGTCAGAGCCGGGGCCCCTGGCTGGGCTCACCCACAGGCAGGTCACGTGCATTAACCCCCCCTTAAAACGTTACTCGAAACAGATCCAGCGTGAGCCTGGCCTAGGTTCTGGCTCACTGAATCTCCGCAAGAAGCCCGGATGGAGAATCTGTCTCTCTCAGCTACCTGCTGTCTGTCTGTCCTTGCCACATCTGACCACGCTGGTCCTCAGCCCTGCTGCCTGTGCGCTGGGGCCCAAGCACAGTAGGTGGAAGGGGAGAGAATATTTCCAGGGAGAAGAGCTATTCGCTCCATCCCTCATCTTCCCCCAAATGAGAAAATGTGCCAGAGTCCCTTCCTCCTGTCCCCTACGAAAGACAGAGGTGGCCCTGGAGCCTCTCTGCTCTGCGGCTGCTGGCAGAAATGTCACCAAGAGCACTTTGTTCTTTTTTTTTTTTTGCCTTCTACCAGGAGGTGTTTGGGGGTGGGAGCTGGAAGGCCTTTTCATTTTCCCTCCTAGTAGCCTGACATTTGGGGATACTGGCATAAGCAGAGGGAAGAGACTTGGAGGAGCAGTGAGGACTTTGGGGCGGCAGGGAGGGGACACCTGCTTAAACAACCCCTCTGTTCTTTTGTCCTAGTAAGATTAAGGCTGCTATCTCTGGGGTAAGCTGTGTGGGGCGGTGAAGAAGGTGGGGATGAGCCTGGCTGTGCCTGCCTGGGGAGGTGCGGGTGCTGGCCAAGTCCCCACAGAGCAGGGGAAAGGCAGAGGCCTGGTTCAGAGCCTCTCTGCAGCACAGTCACTTTATACTCGGATTTTGTTAATCACATAGTGTCTGCTAGATTTAAAAAGATGGCCAACCACGGCTGAGTGCCCACAACTAGACTTGCTAGCCTCCCCCTTTCATGCTAATCTGCAGTGATTCTCTCAGCCACCAGTTTCCACCAGAGGCTCCATTTTTGGCTTTAATGAATCAACCAAGAGTGTACCCCCAAACCCTATATCTTTGGCCACTGGAAATGTTGACTCTCATTCATGAATTTAGAGAGGTGAGAAAGGACAGCCTTTGGGGGTCCCGGGGTGAATTCCTTAGTTCTGGTGTGAGTCTCCTGGCTTGCAGGCACCTGCTGTTCTGCTGTTCCCAGGGGCATCTCCCTCACCTCTTGCCAGAGCCCACCTTCTTCTGGGGCAGGGAATTCCATGTGGCAGCCCCTACCAGGCTCCAGGAGTCCCCGGAAGGTGCTCCACCCTTGGGACAGCGCTTGAGGCGGTCTTGTTTCCAGTGCACGCTCCGTCTCCCTTGGGTTTGGAGAGTGTCCTGAGACAGACAACTTTCCACTGGAATGGGCTGGTTTACTAATGACTGATGACAGCAGTCCCCAGCGACCACCCTCGCCTGCTCCTCAACACACCTTCCCTCTCTCCCCACTCAGCGGGTGCCCCTGCAGAGCGCCCTGAGGACACAACCTGAGAAGGCCATCAGGAAAGTTGGCAGGCCCTGGCCATGTGTCCCTCCCCCTAGCCCCAGCATGGGATGGGGCTCCAGCAGGGCCACACTTTTTGGGGGGACTCCTGGGATGAGGCTCCCTGTAGTGAGTTACAGCAGTTTCAAGGTCTCAGTGTTTGTCTCACCCACTTGCACAGAACATGAAGTGCGTAAGAAAAATGCCTGCCCCCTGGACAGCTCAACTAATAGGCCTCATGGTGGGGGCTTGTGTTAACCAGGAAGGTTAGTTCAGTATCTCAGTCCCTCCCACCCCCACCTACCGCCTTCCCAGGAGATTTCTAAAGACCTCTTCTTCCTATCCAAGCCCTATTCCAGGCTCTGCCCCTCAACCTCCGCAGCCCCCCTGGGGGCTCCGATCTTCTCAAGGGACAGCCGGGTCTTAATCAGACTTGTCCCTGGACTGCCAGCTGGCCTCCGGCCCACCCTGCACCCACCCTAACCGTCTCCTCACGGCTGCCTCAATAACTCACACGAGTTAAATAATGTTGAGCACTTGGCATGGTCAGCTGCGCATATGGCGGCCCACCCATCTTTTTCCTGCCCATGAATGAATGAGTGAATGAATGAACTTTTCCCTTTTCCTTCCTCACCCGAAATCTCCAATCCAGCCAGGCCGAGCTCCTCCCGCTATGGGCGCTCCCCAGAGCGCCCCTGGGGCTCAGGGCAGCCACTCACCTTCCCAGCCAGCTACTGGGGCCTCCCGTGAGCAGAGCTGCCTGGACTCCTGCGCCGGGCGCACAGGGGCACTCGGGACAGCTGGCTGAGTTAATGAATGACTCCACAGAGCCCTCCGAGGGGCTGCTCCCTTCTGCGCCGCGGATAGAGTGAATGAGCGAGGGACAGACGCCCCCTCCCACCGCCCCAGAGCATCCCCTCCTCGGCGGATGCGGTGACGCGGCGCGGGCGAGGAGGCTCCGCCGCAGCCGGGGTGCGCCCAGAGGCGTGGAACGCCCGGCCCGGCGCGCGGGGACCCCTCGGGGAGACCCGAGGCTGCACGGGCACCGCGACCGTGGGGAGCGCGCTTCGTGCCGCCGCCCGCAGCTGCTCCCGCGTCCCCCGTGGCCCCAGCCTCCCCTCCGGCGGGCGCCGGGCCCCGGCCACGTGCAGCGCCCCCGGAGCCCGAGCTGGCAGGCGCGGGGGCCGCTCCGCCGCGCCCGGCGAGGCTGCAGCTCGCGAAGTTCCCACCTCAAGTTCCCGGCGCGGCGTCCCCGGAGTTGGCCGGGCGGGCGGTGTCCCCCGCTGCGGGTCCGGCGAGGGCGCGTCCAGGGGTCGGAGCCGCCAGGGGCGCGCGCGCCGCCTCCCCGAGCCGCCCGCAAACTTCGGCCCCCCGGCCCGGCTCGGCTCCCGCCCACGGACCCAGGGCCGCCCCGCCGCTGCCTCCCGGTCCCGCCGGGCTCCGAGTGCGCCGGGAGCGCTGCGCGGCGGCCGCGAGGGAGGGAGGCGGCCGGGGGGAGGCGGGACGCGGGGAGGGGACTGCGCGCGGGGCGGGGAGAGGGGCGGGCGGCGGGGAGCGCGGCGCCAGGCTCGCCCGCAGCCCCGCAGTGGCCGCGCGGGGGGCACCCAGCGCCCGGGCGCCCCAGCCGCGCGCCGGGTCCTCGGCCTGGGACTGGCCGTGCCAGGCGCCCCCGCCACCCTCCTGCGCTCCGCCCGGCGCGCCAGCCCTGCGGCTCCGGCGCTCGGCTGCCCTGGGGCTGCACGCGCCCCGCGGCGCACCCACCTCGGGAGTCGCGCGCTCTGGGGGTGCTGCGCCCGGCGGGTCGGGTGCCCGCGGGCCCGGCCCCACCCTGGCCTCCGCGCCCAGGAACGCCCTCGCGCTGCGCTGCCCCCAGCCGCGCGCCCCGCGGGCCCCAACATCCTGGGGGGCGCACGTGCGCCTTCTCCCTGGAGGTCCCAGTGCGCCGCTGCCCTCGAGCCCCTCTGGCGACTGTTGCCTGAACTTTCCTGGGGACGGCGCTTGCCACGCCAGGTGCTTTCCTTGCAGGGCCGCGTGCAGTAGGGCCCCGGCTTCTGTGAGGCCAACCACCCGCACCTCTGGCCTAACACTGGGGCCCTGGGGAAGGGTCCTGCAGTCCGGGTCCCCACCAGGTGGGCAGGAGCTCGCCTTACCTGGCAGGCGGTTGGAGCAGTGCGTTGGCTGGGGCTTGCGTCGGAGGGTTCTGCCAAGAGGCGCCACCGCAGAGGCGGCCTCTTGGGGTCGCTTTGCCGACATCTTCCTCACTTTTCCTTCCAGCCCCGGGTTCTCCAGCATCAGAGCCCAAGGACAGGCCGCTCAGAAACCCTGGTGTGGGTCCTGCCTATGACAAGGGCGGGCGGCAGGCTCCCGAGGTGTGAGTACCTGCTCTTTCTGGGGCTTTGGGAGAAGAAACAGGGTTAGGGTGCTCAGACTTTGCCTCCTTGGTGCCATGGAGGCGGCCGGAACAGCGCAGCTCCAAGGACTCCCCTTCTGCTGGGCGAGAGGCAGAACCAGGAGGGCCGCTAACCAGCAGGTTCTGGGCGAAGGGCACAGAAGCCAGAGCAAGGCCCGGGCACAGCGTGAGGGGAGAGAGACTATCAGGTGACCTCTGAGGAGGTGGCATTTACACCGAATCCTGGACACCGGGAAGTGGCCCATCTTGGGAAGAGTTTTCCAGGGTGGCACAGCAGAGGCAACAGCCCTGAGCAGGAGAGACAGCAGCGACCCTGGAGAGGGGTGTTGGGGACAGTGTGTGGCTTTGCCGTGGCCAGGTGGTCCCCAAGTACGCTGAGAACCCCTCTCTACATGGTGGCTTGGTCCCTGCTGCCGTCGCTCATCTGACCGTTGGTTTGGTGTCCTTCTTCCTCACTGCTGTCTGTTCCCCCCCCTGGACACTCTCATCAGGACCGGGAGGGTGTGTTATTCCACCACCCCCTCCTCCCCACCCCCCTTGGGCACAGGCAGACAAGGCTCCTGAAAGCATGCTGGAGGGACACCGAGGACAGTCCTGTGTCATCTCAGAGAGACACATGACTCTCTGCAGGCCACAGGATGAGGCTATAGAGCAGGAGGTCTCAAACTTTATTGTGCTTCTGAATCCTCCGGAGGGCCTGTCAGACCCCAAGTGGCCTCCCTGCCACCCCGTTTCTGATTCTGTGGGGCTGGGAGGGGCCCTTCCGATAAGTTCCCTGGTGACGCCGATGCTGCTGGCTGGAGGACCACACCTTGAGAACTTCCGACGTGGAAGACTTGAAATGCCACCTGCTGGGTCTGACTTCAGCCCACCTGAGTTAGCAGGTGGCTTGAGTAGGCCAGGGATCAGGCCTTGCTTCCCCTTGTGTAGGCCCAGCTAGCCCTTGTGAGCCACTCTCGAGAAGGGCTGGCCAGAGGCCCGGGCCTATTGGAGCACTGTGGACCTGAGTCATATATTGAGTGACCTCTGGAAGAAGACCTCCGAACAGGATGGAGACCACCAGTAAGAACACTCCTTCCCAACCCCTTCCAGCCCATATCCACAGGCTCAGGCACTTGCTGTGCCCAGGAGTTAAATTACTGTCTGATCTTATCCCTGACTTGTACTAAACCATGTCCAATAAAATTCTCTTAAATCCTTTTAAGGAATTCCCTCTTTGCAGTTCCTCCCTCCCTTTAGGGCCTCCCAGATCTTCAGTTCTTCTCTTCATATCTCCATTTCCTTCCCGAGGAGCATCCTTCCCCAAGCTGTTGTGGACAAGTGGATGCTGATGATGCTGGGAAAGTTTTCTGGAAAGATGAGGCTGATCGATGCTCTCGGCACCTGCTAGGTGCAGGCGGGTTGCTGGGTATTAGCACGCGGGAGGTGCCAGTGGGTGGGTTTGGCTCACAGACCTGTTTTATTGGGCCCTGGTGGGTTAATATATATATATATATATATTTAAAATTTTGTTAGATGCAAACCTTTAAAAAACATGGAGCTTTGCATATATTTTTTTTCTCATGCTACGTTAGGTGACCTGGCTGGCATCCCTTGTGCCCATGGTGTGTGAGTGTTGGCCCCTCAATCTGCATCCCATCAACAAAGGTACCCCCAGGTGCTGGGGGCTTGAGCTGCTGACCTGTCAGTTATCTGGAATCACCCAGCAATGGCAAAGCTGGATCTCAGGCCAGGCCTGTCAGACTGACCAGCTCCAGTTTGTCCCAGAAAAACAAGCTGCTATTAGTATTGGGGGCGGAGGAGGATGTGGCGTCGCCGGCCCCGAGGAAACACCTTAAAAGGGAGTTACTGTCAGCGGTTTAAGGATTTGCTTTCCTTCCCATTCATAACCTGCTGTCAGTAAGTCATAAAGTTCTGGATTGTTTTTCCATGGCATGAAGGGTTGTCCAGAGCTGTCCAAACTTTTTCATCCATCCTTCCTCTGGAGATGAAAAGGCTGAGATTTGCAAGTTGGTTCGAGTTAGGAGGGGCTCAGGGGAGAGAGCAGTGGGGTAGAATTTTCCCTCGCTCTCCTGGCAGGGATCTAAGAGGATGTCTTCCAGCGAAGACTTGTAGAAAAAAGCGCTGCTGGGCCAGAGGGGTGGGGGGGGGGATGGGGCATTCGCCTGCTGCCTCTCTGGAGGTCACCTTCTCCCAAAAGCTTCTGTCCGAAGATGCCCCTGCCTAGAATGATCTTCCACAGGTTTCCACACAACCAGTTCCTCCAAGTCTCAGACAATTATCACTTGGGTCCAGCTGGGATCAGGGTGCAGAGGGTAAGGTTGAAACATGCAAGTGCATGGCTTTATTTAGGTCTATATTTAAAACGTTGATGTTTTGTTCATCATGGATTTGCTTGGCACTACTTTTGATTTAAGAATATTGTAGCAAACTATTTATCTTGATTAGTGAGCTTTTTGGTGATTCCTTAAAATTTGCACCTGAGGCCTGCTCCCCACCTGGCTTCACCTTTGTTCTGGCTCTGCTCCTGGGTTCTCTGGACTGGGAGTCAGGAGACCTCATTCTGGTCTAACCTGTGCCTTGAGAATAGTGATTGGGCACAAGTCAGTGGCACCATGTCTCCTGAGACGGGGCTATATCTGACTTGTTCTGGAAAGATCCAGGACTACCACTAGAGCTCTGAGAGATTGCATGTTGTGTCCATTTCCTGGAGACTTGGGGTCTGCTTTAGGCCTTACCAACTCTGGCCTTTATAGGGTGTTACTGTCTTTTTCCGGGCACCCCTGCGAGCGATTACTCTGTGCCGACGCCACAACCTCATGGCTGCTGTGTGCAATGAGCATCGACCTCCTTGCCTGTTTTCCTGTCTGGTGAGGTGGGAAGTCTTGGCGGTGTGGTTGTGTACCCTGCTCTTTGATGTATTGTTTTTTTTCTTTGGTTCTATCCATTGGATCATGGGAACCTTCATCATGAACCTTCAGTACAGCCAGCACTCTGATACAAAAGACACATTTCCAGTCCTAGAAGAGAGTCTAGTGAGGGCGCAGGCACAAAAGCAATCCCATGTGCTGGGAGAAACCTGATGTCTTCGAGCAATTCCACCTAAGCCCCTGATCTCTCCTGAGAGACCCTGCACTGTTGGGGCCATCTCAAATGTCATGAGCCTAGAGGGTTAGGATCACCTCAGGAGGGTGCTGATTATGACATTTGGGATCACACTTGCTTGCAATTCCTTCTAACTCCCCAGCTCCACCTCCGTCTGTCCCTCCTCCTCGGGATTGTGGTTTTTCTATTTTCCTCACACAATTTCAAAAGCCCACCTCTTTCTTTCAGTTTTTCTCTGCTGCTCTAGCCCTCAGGAGATGCTTTCCCTTATTCCTCTGCAAAGTTTTTATCAACTAATATGTCCTCTGCCTGGAGCTTAATTAAGATCTGTCCGGAGTTCCTTGTCGCTTTAGCCCAGCTAGGATGTTCTGGTTCTTGCAGGGAGAGGGCACTTGTTTAGCAGTTAGTAACAGGCTCTATCCCTTAACTTCAGAGGCAGTAAACAGACCTGTCTTGCTAGAACTTCCATGCTTTAAAAATAATTAATCACATGCCAATATTTGAACATCAGAAGATTTCATGTAAAAAGCTGGGTTTCTGTTTTCCCTTGAAAACTTAGAAGATCTGCCAACCTTGAACTCTACAATCCTCTCTGGCAAATATTGGCTAGAGCTGGTAGCTCCTTTTTCCTTTGCATGGGGGTCTGGATTCTCCAATTTGCTACAGTCGCCACCATTCCTTAGTGTCCAACACTGACCTCACTTAACTTGTCTGCTTTACCTGCCTGGCTCCTGTAGGCATTTAAGATTTTAGCCCCTACTTTTAATGGTTTCCTTTCTTAAGAGGAAAAACAGCTCATCAGAGAGCTATGCACTGGCAGATGCTTTGCAAGGCTCAAAGGGAGGCTGGGCGTGGAATAGGGTGTGATTGCTGAAGATAGTTGGGTAAATGGGGAGGGGAGAACCAGGAGGGTGCCTGCTGTGAATCTAGGCCACACGTTCTTAGTATCAACACACTCAGGCCTTTGAACTTGGCTGGTGCTATGTTGCTTTACTTATACATCTAGAGATATAGTTAATGCGAATATGAAACAATGTAATGATAGAAATTGAAATTAACTTATTGAGAGCATTTATAGTATGTGCCAGATACCGGTGTCAGAGTTTTACATTTAATTCTCACCCTGGCTGTCTGAACTAGTCTCTGTTTTGGAGATGAGAGACCAGAGACACAGGTAAGCAACTTGCTCCCGGGGCCACAGCAAGAAAGCAAGAAGCTGTGATTGTAATACCACAAGTGGCCCTGGAAGCCGGATTCCGTCAGGATTGGAGGTGCCAGGAGAGATGGTTTTTGTTACTCTTGTCTCATTTCCTGGGATTGCAGCGTGTCTCCTCTTGCGAGGAGTCTGTCATGGTTGAGCCTCTCTTTCCTCAGCCCGGGGTTGAAATTAGCCAGCCCCATAGCTCTCACTGCAGGCTGTTTGATTTGGAGACACACCGGCTGGTCAGGTAGGGGTGGGGCAAGAGACCCAGGTACCCTCTCCTTCCACACAGCCCTGGATCCCAGAAACACAGGGCATGAGCTCACTCCCCCAGTGTCCCCAAGTCTGAGGTCAGCACCCCACTGCAGTGCTCTCAGCACCCGGCTTGCTGCAGTGGAAGATTTTAGTCCCCTTGTCGTTACTTTGCATCGCTTCTGGGCTGTGTTCCCTCTTATTTCATTTTCATCTGAAATCCTGAGCTCACCCTCCTCAGCAGCTGACGTGACCATTTATTTCCAAGGCTGCAGTCAGTCGGAGGGCTGCCGACAGCGACGCAGAGTGCTCTGGGTTCTTGCCACCTTGTTTTGTCCCTGCAGACAGGCATAGGAGATGGGAGAACATCTTCATTTTGCAGCAGCAAAGCTTTCAAAGGCTTCTGGACTCAGCAATCATCCCCTCTGGGCTGAGACACTTTCTTTGACCCCAGAGGGCACTGCCTTGGTGGACTCTGTCCCTCAGTCTTTTGTCCCTTTGGATGCAAAACCTTGAAAGCGCATGTTCCGTGCTTTGCACGTGTTTGGCTAAGGCCCCTGGATCAGCCTCTCGAGGTTGTGTGCTCACAGCTCTCCATACCCGGAGAGGGCCAGAGGCTCACGGGGATGCACAGCGAATGAGTGGCAGAGCAAGACTGAAGGTTCCCAAACCTTTTACTAGTTTGCCTCTTTCGGAGCACAGAAGGCTAAGCCTCAAGGGCGCCCGTCCTGTGCACCAACCACCTGGAAAACCGAGGTCTCAGCTCGGCTGTTCTGGCTCAGGGAGCTGGCCAGAGGCCCATCTGAGCACCCTCTCCCCCACCCCCGAAATGATCTCCTGTCAGGTTGAATTTACATTTTTATTATCTCTCCTTCCAGAATGTGAGCTCCGCAGGGGCAGGCACCAGTCTGCTGTCTGTCCCGTTTGCGGCTCTTTCTCAAGCTTCCAGCACACGCCTGGTGCCCAGGGAATGAAGGGAGAAACTGGCCGGGTGGCTTGCAGGGACTTCAAGGGACCCTTAAACAGGAGAAGGTTTTCAGTAAGTAATGAAAATGCAAACGTCTGCGGAATCACTTTCGTTTGCTTTAGATAAGATTTTATTTGTGGAAACAAAGTCCACTCCTAAAAATGGCTTCAAAGCCATCCATCTACCTCAATTTTGTGGGTACATTTCACATCAGTTGCTGAGCTCTGGGTTCACGCCACACCTCACACAAAGGGCTGTGCTTGCGATATGGGAGAATTCATGGGTTCATGTGGCTGGAAATTCTAGGGCTTGGTGCCTCACTCTAAAGCGCAGGTTCTTTAAAAACAACATCAAAGAATTACGGCATAATGACATTTACATGCAGTGAAGTGTACAGATCTTAAGTGTGTGGTTTGATGGGTTTTGACAAATGCATGCACCTGTATAACTCACCTACCTGTCAAGGTCTACAACTTTCCATTAGCCAGCAGCTCCCTAGTGTTCCCCTCTACCAAGCCCCCTTCCAGAAACATCCGTGTGCCCCAATAAAGACTGGCTTTGTGTCTGTTGGAACTTCATAGGAACGGAATTAACAGGGCATGCGTTCTGTGTTGCTCACATGAAGTTGCACGGCCAGCCTCCACGTTGTTGCAAGGATCACGTCGTCCATCCTTCTCTGTTGCTGAATTGTGTACAATTGTATGGACGCCCCACATTTTGTCCCTTCATTCAGTGTTGGTGGACATTTGGATTGATCCCAGTTATGAATAAGGCTGCTGTGAACATTCTTGTACACGTCTCTTTTGTGGACATGTGTGTTCATCTGTTAGTAAATTCTAGGCGCTAACTTGGTGAAACAGTCCACATTGTCGGTGCAATGATGTGCTGCCTCCCTGTGCTGGAACCTTCTGTCTGCAGGGGTCATGGACACTGCTTGTGAACTCTGGGCGGGCACAGACCAGCCTGTGTTTAGTGGCTGGTCCAGACCCAGCATCAGCAATGGGTGGAGGGAAGAACCATTCGGGATTCAAAGATAATTCTTTGGAGACAATTCTACTGGGTGTCCTGTGTTTCTACACAGCTCGCAAGCAGAGACAAAAACTTTCAGACTATATTTTAGAGGATGGTCAAGTAGTAAATAGCCTTAGCAAATAGTGTTTCCTTCCAAAGCAAAGGGCAGGCATGTTTACTGTCCATTATAAAAGATTTGATCTTCTGAATATTATTCAGACTTAGAAAGGAAGGAAATTCTGCCACATGTGATGACATAGACAAACCCCGAGGACCTCATGCTAAGCGAAATAAACCAGACACAAGAGGACAAATACCATTTGATTCCACATACGGGAGGTGGCCGGGGTTAAATGCAGAGACAGAAAGCAGAATGGAGGAGGCCAGCGCTGGGGGCCGGGGAGATAGGAATGGCTGCTGTAGAGAGGTGTAGAGTTTCCATTTTATAAGATGGAAAAGTTGTTACCCAATAATGTGAGCATACTTATAGCTACAGGACTGTCCACTTGGAGAGGTTTCAGATGGCCGCTTTTGTGACACATTTTTTTACCATCCGCATAAGATTTTACCATCCACAAGCCCAAGGTTCCTCCCCAGCAATGCAGCTCCTTGGCCATCTTTGCACCGCCCTGTGGGGCTGGGGCTTGGGGAGCTGGTGGAAAAACCCACCAATGTTGTTACTCTGACCACTGCTATCATGTGAGTAATAACCTGTCCTTAGTCTCTGACCTGGGAGACTCGTGTCTTCTGCCGCATCTATGAAGCTCGGGCAGCGTCAGCCTCCGTTCCCGATAGCCGTGACCACTGTGTCTGCCTCTGGGAATGCTGTGCTTTCTTGCTCACAGCCTTATCCCCACGTCTCCCACAGGTACAGTGGCACACGGGAAAATGCTCAATCTATACTGGCAGGGTGGAAGACAGGGTGGCTGAATGAATGCTGACTGAAGCCTTGACACCTCAAGCTCCTGGGCAGCCTGCTGGCTTTCATCTTCCTCCCACCCATCCTTGTGCTCCTCCTTTGCAAAGGCACGGGAGCACTTTCAGGGGGGCTGTTCAGGAGGTTGAGTATCACCCTCTCTACGGAAGAGGAACTAGAGGTTCACAGAGGTGAGGGTCCTGTAACCTTCGCCCTGGGCTTGGCTGTTGACTGTGTAGTCTCAGATGGGTCCTGGTGCTGGAATCCCACCCCTTCTGTTGCCAGACTTCTGGATGCAAAGAGAGTGGGGCAGGTGGAACTTAGAAGCTTCCTGGGAGGAAGAAGCTGCTTAGTTAGCACTCATGGAGTTTGAGGGGGGGTGCACCCTGCTGGGTAGTTCTGGAAGACCCTTTGCAGCTGCCGTAGGAGGCCCTTGTTTGTCTCTGGCAGCTCAGTCAGTTTCATAATTGGCAGGGGTGGGGGGTGGGGGATGCTACAGAGGGATTTGGTTTTAGGACATTTGATGCTGCCTCAAACCCTAGTCTTGGTTCCCCCAAGTCTGATCCCCTTAATCTTCTAGTATCTTCTAGCTACTCCCAGAATGGAGTCTGACAGTTTCTCTTTCCACACCATTGCTATGTCTTGCACTTCAAGCTTGTTCCCCTTGGGTTCTCCCATTTATTTTCAAGAGCATACTTTTGAAATCGGGGGCAAAAGGAATCTTATTGGTTTCTTCTTTCATTCTGCTGAAACAGTTCTGTTTTTCTTGCACACAAAGCAGGTCCCTCTGACTTACAAGGGTAGAGTGTTGCATGGGAGAGACGGGCAGAGATGGCAACAAAAGCATAAGGACTCATACTCCATTGACTCGTGGCCTTGACGACTTGAAAGCTCTGCCTCCCTCGCAGTGGTGAGGCTGTAGCTCTTGCATTTCCTTTCTCCTTTTGTGGCATACAATGAGAAATCTTTGAGGAAATGAGAAAAGTCAGCCATCGGTGGCAATAATATCCGTCCTACTGGTGGGAGGTCATCAATGGAGTCGCTGAACATGGCAACTTTAAGCAAACTCTTTGAGCACCGTCTGTGAGCCAAGTCTTCTGTTGGATCTTGGGGACTTGGCTTTGACAGTGACAGTTAAGGTCTTCATGCAGATTACTTGTTACTGTGTAAGGAGGCAACAAACAGGGGGCATGTACGTACGTAACATGGGTATTGATCAGCGAAGGCAGGAAAATTGAGGTGGGTGAGGATTTAAGAGCAGTGGGCAGTTGCTGAGGCTGGTGTGGGCCAGGGATACGCAGGTCTCAACTCACGCCAGTCACTTCACGCCGTGTGCTCTTTGTGTTCTTTTTCTTCTCAAAAGGGATTTGCTGTGGGAATCATCGCCCCCATCCTAATTTCCTTGGCTCCTGGCCCACCTGCTTTCCCTAAATCCAGCCCATCACCTGGGTCCATCAGGTCTCTTGTGCCCTGGGATGCCTCTTCTGTATCAGCTCCAGGCGTTCTTGCTGTTGCTCCAACACGCCAGACATCTGGAAAGTTCCTCCTCAAGGTAGCTGCATGAATTGACCATTCATTGTCTTCAGGTCTCTGCTCAAATGTCACCTTCACGGTCAAGTATTTCCTGATCACCCTATTTAAAATGGCGACAGCCCCAGCTCCATTCTTACGCTTCTCCATCCTCCATGTTGTTTCCCCTTTCTCCTTAGCTTTTATCATCCTTTAACATACTGGATATCTTGATTGCTTTTACTGCATTTAGGTCAGAAAGACTGAGAGGAGGGAGCAATTACTGGAACCCGGAGGGTAACATCATGGAGATGGAGAGACCTGTCCTCAGAGAGCGGGGGGGGGGGGTCGTCCAGGCAGATACACCCACACTCCCTGCCCCCTCTGATCTTGTGGCAGATCCCATTGGCCAGGCCCGTTCAGAAGGTGGGAGCAGTTAAGTCCACCTTCAAGGGCACAGAGAACCGTGGAGAGTCATTTGGAGGGGACAGGACCTTCCAACTCTTGTTTGGAGCCTTAGGTTTGTTTGTTTGTTTTAAAGATTTATTTACTTATGCATACAAGAACTGGGTGTAGGCCAGAAGTGTGGAGGGTGAGAGGATCCACCAGAGACAGTGGGGAACAGAACAGATCTACCGAAATACACTGCAGAGGGGAGCAGCAGGAGAGACAGGAGAGGTCTGCTGCGCCATGTGGGTCAGCAACCTGGCCGGGGATCAAACTCGTGCTGCAGTGGCTGCCAATAGCTTCGTAGTGCTGAGCCACCAGGGAGGCCCGCCATACAATTTTTTTGAAAGAGTTTGGGGGCCATCACAGTGGGTAAGGAGCGACCCAGTAGACTGGACTTTGATCGGGTCACCAGCACTCCCACGAGTGTGTGAGTGGTGGCAGGAGGCGGCGAGTCACAGGACCTGCACTTGGATGTCAGTGTCCTGCTTCCCAGGGCCTGCTGTTGCCCAGTCACCATGCCCTGGAGCCCGTCCCATCTGGGCAATGCGCGTGAAAGTCCCTGTTCTGCATCCCCGTCTGGCTGGTTGTAAAGACTCGGTGAGGCTCGGGATGTGGAAGTGCTTTGCAAGCAGGAGAGTCTTGGATAAACTTGGCTGCTTTTAGCTCAGTTTTACTTGTTGACTCAAATTCTAAGTCTGGATGCAACATGGGTTCCTGGTCACTGCGAGAACCTGGCAATGAGAGACGTTTTCAGCCCAACCAATGCACTTGAATTGGCTTCTGATAGAAATAGCCACAAAATCCTGAAGATCCCAGGTGTGGGTAGCAGCTCTGTGGCCATCAATATGCAAGACCCCATCATTTGCTGGGGCCTCTAAGCAAGGTCTTGAGTCCAGCGTAATAAATCCTTCAAGAGGCCATCAGTGCTCCTCCCTCCCCCCTCCCTTGCTCTAGCCAAAGGGAGCACCTCTCCCAGGGTGAGGGAGGATGGCAGGGTTGGCTGGATGTGTGGGGAAAACTGCAGGTACCCCTTTGTTTGGGGACTTATTTCTATTCTATACCAGTAGGCAACAGCCCTTGGCCAGAGCCTGTGGCCTCAGCTCCAGGGAGGGTAGAGAACATTGCCTGTGGTTGCCAAGGCAGTGAGCTGCAGAGGGCATATCTCTGTGGCAGTCTGGGCCCCTAG